TCTCCCCGCCCTCTCCCCACAGTCCCTGCCCACCTCCCGGTACCTCCGCACTGTCCCTCAGGGCCGTGGTGCTGCTGCCTCAGCCCGGCCCTGCTCAGGGTGGCTCAGGGGCCGTGAGGGGTGAAGTGCCAACCTGTGGGGGACCCCTCTAAAGGCTTTGGCTTTCTCTCTCGTTCTTCATGTGAAAATCCTACCACGTTGCGCCAGGGGCAGTGGCAGAGGCCCTGGCTCACCGCTCTTGTGCAGGTGTGTCTGCTTCTCAGAGTACCCTGGCCTAGAGAGGAGTCTGCACAGAGGGGCAGAGGAGAGGGGAGGGTGTGTGTTGTGTGTCCCCACTGGAAATTCCATCATGGTTTCTGTCAGCCTGTGGGATGAGGGGTGAAATCACACACTTCAAGCAGAAATGAGAGGAGACTGAAGCCCATGAGTCATTCATTGTCTTCTCAAGGCAAAGGAGCTGGGCTTGTCTGGCCTTCATCTACACTGGATGCAGGTCATGAATTGTAGAATCATAAGGGTTGGAAGAGACCTCTGAAGATCAAGTCCAACCTCCCTGCCAGAGCAGGTCACACAGAAACACATCCAGATGGGTCTTGAAAGTCTCCAGAGAAGGAGACTCCACAGCCTCTCTGGGCAGCCTGTCCCAGGGCTCTGTCACCCTCACAGGAAAGAAGTTTCTCATCATGTTGAGGTGGAACTTCCTGTGTTGTCACTTGGTGCGGTTCCCCCTCATCCTATCTCAGGCACCACTGAACAAAGACTGGCCCATTCTTGACACCCACCCTGCTGATATTTGTAGACATTAATAGGTTCCCCCTGAGTCTCCTCAAGACTGAACAGCCCCAGGTGTCTCAGCCTTTCCTTGTAATGCAGGTGTTCAGTCCCTTCATCACCCTTGTAGCCTCTGTTGGACTCTTTCCAGTAGATCCCTGTCCCTTTTGAACTGGGGAGCCCAGAACTGGACACAACATGCCAGATGTGGTCTCACTAGAACCTCCCTTAAAGGCTTCTGGCTTCCCAGATGACACCGCACAACACATCTTCCCAAGTGACTGTGTCCAATGGGGCATCAAGTACGGCCAGGCGACCTTGGAATAAATCTCTCCTTTTGATGTGGAAAATGGGCAGGGAGAGAGAATGGAAACCTATTTGTGTCCAAGGGCTGTATATTGAGGGAAAATGTAGCCCTTCAGGGGCAGAAACCCAACTGTCTGGATTTGGTATTTCTTACTGTGGGCAACATGGCTGCTGTGTGACTTCCAAATACATCTCTGTGTCTTTGAGAGGGCCACATCCCACTTGGGAGTTTTGAGAGGGGAATTTTGGCAGCAGTTGGATGTGTGGCCACAAAAATGACATTAGCAGCACCCTAAGGCACATACTCAGCAGGTGTTAGGGGCAATTACTGAGAGAGTGGGGTTCTCTCCTGCTCCAGAAAGGGGTCCTGACTTGAAGGTTTTATAGTTGTCTTGGATTTTTCAGGAGTGCTGGTACTGAGACTCCCCCACATGACAGTAGATGAACAAAGCATATTTACAAGGAAGACAAAGCTGAAGCAGTTTTGCCTTCCATCTTTCCAGGAAAGCAAAGATCACTCCACTTCATCTTTCCCTTGGCTTTTCAGCTGCTTCCCACCCACCTCCACGCTGTGACACCTGTGGTGTTGGGAGCACTGACCCCACACCCATGAGCTGCTGAGGGAGTGCAGGGTGAGCCATAGCCTTGGGTGACATGCTGACCTACTGTTGAGTGGCTCCTGATAGGCACTGACAGGAGCCAAGGTGCTCTCACAAGAATTAAGTCAGAATTAGTATTTTGGCCCATTTAGACTTGTGGTCTTGAGTTTCCTGGGATTAAAAGCAGCACTTTGGCATTATTTTCAGCAGAAAGCAGAAGTTCCAGGAACTTACTGTCTTTATGGCCAGGATTTGGGAGGTTTAGAGATGAGGTATGACATTCAGGCACTTACCTGTTCCTCAGCTACACCTGGAGGGTGCTGGATGGGGCACAGCTCACAGGTTTCCTGGTCTGCTGCCCCTAGGAATTCTATTCCTAATTTGCTATATGTATTTTGATGGTCTGGAGGAAAGTGGTGCACTTCTGCTAACTTAGTGCATTGAGGATTGGGTGCCAAAATGTGGGGAGCATCTTGGTTTCCAGCAAGCTGGACACTGGGGATTGCATACTTGCCTGGGCACATGGAAAAGGAGTGCTGTGGATTTCCATTCCCATGCCAGCTGGGTTGGAGCAGCTATCCAGGGAAAAATGCCCATATTAGGCAGCCTAAGCTGAGAAGAGGAAAATGTGTGTTTTGCTCTGCCTCTCTCAAGGTTTCTATAAACTAATTTCTTTCCAACTTGCTCATAATTATTTTGTGATGCAAATAATCAGCTCTTACTCAGCATTTGGTCCAGGTCCCCCCTTGTTTGAGACCAGCCCAGCCACTCAGCCAGTTTACAATCCATTAGCATGTTTAGAATACAGAATCATCTCTCTTCCAAGTACAGACAGACTTTTCACAAAATATTTAGTGCTGTTTCTCCTTCCTGAGAAGACCCAAGCAGGAGCAATGCCTGAGCTGGTTTGCTGAGGAGTGCTCCTTGCAGCCCTGGGGACAGACCATGTGTTTCGCACTGGTTGGTGTTCTGCAAATGCTGCCAGAAGAGAGGGAAGTTGGATGAAGGGAATGAAAGGGGATCACCAGACCACAGTGACAAATTTGTGTGTTTTTTTAATTGGAATAGTTAAAACTGTAGCTCTGGAAAAAAAGATTGTGAATGGCTTGTGAGTGTTCCTGTGTGAGAGAAAGGATGGGGGCTGGTTTGTATTATGATTATATACACCTTTCATCATACAAGGGCCACCAAGGTGATCTGGGACAGAGTGCCATATCTCAGAGATAAATACCCTGCATAGAACAGATCAAACTCTATACATCTTGGAGTGGTCTCTGGGCTTCCCTGCCCTGCCCTGGTATTTGATGGTGTGAACTTGGCAGTGGGCAGATGAGTGGAGGCATCTGATGCCGACTGGATGATTTCACAGAGGGGGGTCCCCCCCTGTGCAAGCTCTGAATAGGGCTGGGGTTGAGCAGCGCCACGTAGGGCTGATTGCAGACAGCAACTTGCAGGGGGCACTTACTCCATATGAGCTACCTCATAATCATTAGGATTAAGGAATTTATCTTGTCTTTTACCCTTTCACTGTTAATTGAGTAAAAAGAGCATCTCTCTGAGAGAAACCACCTTAGAAGAACTCTCACGTAACTTTCAAATGAAACATCCTGAACCTCTTAACCTTTGAGACTTTTCCCACCATTTTCTGTACACCTGTCAAACATGGTGTTCTTGGCTCTTTCAGGAGCTCAGCTGCCAGCATCGTAACCCTCTAAGCAAGTCCCATTACGACTGTGGTGCTTCTAAGCAGTGCCTTGGGTGGAAGCACAGGGATGCTCCAGGAATCCAGCAGCTGTAGCTCTTCAGAGGAGCACCACAATCCACCTGTTGGCCCCATCCCTGCCTGGCACTTCTCCAGACTTCATCCTGCTGGAGCACTCTGTGACTTGCACTTTGCTGAGTGGGAACGCAGTGCTTCTCTGACGCAGCATCAGTGCTGTTGCAGCCTGGATATTCTCAGCTCATGGACTGTCTGACAACTTTCTGGCCAGCTGGGGCTTTGCTTCACCATCCACTTAACATTCTTGACAACGTCCACAACTCCTTGACCTCATGCTAAAACTAAATCCTGCTTAAGTCCCTCTCAGCATGACTAGGAATTTCATTAGTTGCCCCATCCACGCTGCATCTGGAAAGGGCCTTCTGAAATGTCACCATAATTTACAGAAATATGATGTCGCCTTTAACTGGGACTAAAAGGACCAGCTACTCCCAGAGAACATAAAAAAAAAAAAAGAAAATGGCCATAGCCTTGCAAAAGTGACAGTGCCAAAGTCCTTTATGCTCACTGTGGCTCTGTCAAATGTTATCTGTGGGGGAGAGCTGAGAAGAGAATCAATGCATGAGTAATGGAGGGAAAAGCAATCTTGGGGTTAAAATGTGCCACCTGTCAGTGAAAGCTGGGCTTTGGGCTCTGGGTTCCATTTGGGGCTCTAATGGTGATGAAGACAGGTGGTGAGACCAGTGCAGGACAAAAGATGGGCAGAGGGAAGCAGCAGTGACTGCTGAGCTGGAGGTGAAGGGTCTTCCTTTGTGTGAATGATGGTGATGAACAAGGAAGGAGGATTCTGTGCTCCAGAACTAATTCTGATGGAACATGAGCTGTCCCAGTTCTCCAGTCATCCAGACACAGCAGCAGCTGACTGGAGAAAATAAGTAGAGTTCCTCCTTTTCCACTTCAAAAAGAAATGGAGTCAGACCCTGTACAGGTCAACTAATTCACAGAAAGAGCCTGGTGGCAATCAGCCCCTGAGACACTCAGCCAGTGAAGTGTCTTCTGTAGAAAAAGGGCTTAAAGAAAAGCAAAACAACCCCTTGCCCCCCCATCCAAAACGAATGTTAAACCTCAACATTACATACACATTAGTGTCACTTTACACTTACTGCTCCATGCAGCCCAGCAGATTCTTCACACCCTGATCGTATCTTACAGAATATTTTCTGCTGCATAGACACACAAAAAATACCCAGTTCTCCCCTGTCCATTGCCCTAGACAAAGGTCTCTTGGGCACAGGCTGTGGTGTCAGGCTCCTCTGGGGACAGCCCTGCCTGGGGCTGGCTCCTGAGCCACTCCACCCTGCTCCGGAGCAGCTCCTTCTCCACTGCTTCCACCTCGGCGGCAGGAAAACTGTTGGTGTCCTCGTGCCTGAAGTACTCGCTGACAGTGCCCCGGACGGCGGCAGGGAGGATGATCCGGATGGTGTGGCTGAGGGTGTGGGAGCCCTGGCTGTGGGCTGGCGCCTGCACCCTTCCCACTGCCTTGCCCTCCAGCTCCTCAGGAGTGGAGGTGCTTTGGGGGCTTCCTCTGGGCTCTGCCTGTGGGGACAGGGTCATTGGTTTGTGGTGGTGGTGCCTGGAGATGGACTGCAGGACAAGGGGGGTGTTCTGCCCATAGAAAACTGTCTGGGGGATGTGGACTCTCATGGTCTGCAAGCTCTTGGGCAGGCTCTGCTCTCCATTGCTGCTGGCATTGTCCATGGGTCTCTCCTTGTCCTCTTCCACTGGACACCCCCAAGAGCTTTCTTTATTGGGGGCCACATAAAAAGTTATCTTGGTTCGCTTCAGGCTTTCCTGGCTTGGAGGGGAAGCAGCGATGCTTTTGATTTTGATGTTCTTCACTGCCTTCTCCTGGTGCTGCTGGGGGCTGACCTCTGGGGATTTTTCACCAGCTGGGCTGGCAGCACAGAGCTCAGGGCTTTGTTCAAGCTCTTTGGTACAATCCTGGCTGATGAGCCGTAGGCTGGGGTTGCCCTCACATCTCCACTCTACTCTCTCCTCACCCTCCCAGTCAGTGTCAGTTGGTGGGCTCCCCACGGCAGCTCTGCTGACAGATGGAAAGCTTGACATCTCCCCAAGGCAATGGCTGCTCTCTACAGCCTTGGGGTCAAACTCATGGAAACTGTCCAGGTCACATGCTTGTAAAGGCACAGGAGACATGAAGGACTTGTGCCACTCTTTCAGGGACCTCTTGGCAATCCTGGGGGACAGAGCATGAAGCCTGGCAGATGTACCAAACATGAAGGGCAGGGATGAAACGTCTGTGGGACTAATGGCTGATGACTCAGAGCAGTAGGAGAAAGCACTGTCTAAGGAGCTGAGTGAGGAGGCAGATGGGGAGGTGGTGGTAGATGACAGGCTAGAGAAGCTGGACCTGTTGGACAGGCTGGACTTCTGAAGGCTGAGTTTCTTCAGCCTAGAGCTGGTCTGAGGTGACTGCCACAAGTTCTGCTGGGCCTTATTAGCCCCAGGGCTTAGGGCTTCATCAATCAGCTTCTGGCTCTCCACCTGCAACTGCTTGAGCCTGTGGAAGCAGTCTGTGTGGTTGCCCATGATGGTGGCATCGCAGCTGGACTGGCGGGCCACTGGCTCGTGGCTCTGGGCGGGCAGCTGGGAGCTGAGGCAAACGCTGGGCTCTGAGGAGCACCGGTCCCTGGCTGGGCTGAGGGAGCGGATGGAGCCGATGGAGCAGAAGGAGCCCTCCTCTTCCAGGAGCTCGTAGCTGTCTCCACTGGCATTCTTCTGGGCTTTGCTTTGGTAGCAGGCTGTGATCTCACTGAACAAGTCCCAGTCTTCCTGATCCTCACCAAAAAATAAGCTGCTGGATGGTTCAAAAATGGCATCTGTGTCAGGTACCATGTCATGCTTTGGTCCTTCTGGGTCACAAGCAGAAAATTCCAGCTCATCAGAGGAATCATCATGCTGAGCCAAACCTGTGCCTGGGGCAGAGAATACAAATTACTTTGTTGTCTGTGTCTCCTAACTACATATAGGACCTTACAACCCAGGCAGGAAGTTATTATCAAAGAAAAGATGGTCCATCAATTTCACAGTGACCAGCTTGGGACTGGGAATGAGATCAAGAATTCTGGCTTGATGAGCTGAACTTTCACCACTGGCTTAGGTGAAACAGGACAGTTAATTAGTTAATAATAGGACAGAGAGAACTCCCATCTCCTTCTGTGCAGCCATTTGGTTCAGATTTACAGAGCTCATCTGGAAGAAAAGACGTCTGGGACATATCACTGCTAAGGCTACACTATGCTCCTCAGATGGCTGGAATGGGTTGAGCAGCAGCAACAGAGAAAGACAACCATGTTCAGGGACACACTTGAAGGGATGCAGCTCAGTCCTCTGCATTCCCTCCTTTCCTGCCCATGACTGACAGGCAAAGGGAAAATCAAAACCAATTATTTTCCTTGGAAGAGGCACGATGGGAAAGCAAACTATTATGCATGATGAGTTAACCTATTAAAAGATTTCAAACATTTCTGGAGGATACAGTTCCACCAACTCACCCAGGCACTCCTCTGAGGTTTTGGACTTCTTTTTGTCTGGTCTTTGAAACAAGGAAGCAATGTCACCTCCAAAAATCTCTCCCGAGTTTTCAATAAGGAACTGCACTAACGAGGCCACCTGGCAAAGACAAGAATTTAGAATCAGTTTGATGAAAAGACAGGCAGCTGTACAAAGCAAGTCAAATCAGTCCCAGAATGTTCCCTTTGCTGTCTGTAAGATGTAATTTCCTACAGGCCCTTTTGCTGAGGGAGCAAAAAAATGTGGCAATGTGTGTGTTAGCTACACCCGGGGCAAGGACGTGAGCACTGTGAGCTGGCAGTGAGCCAGGTCCAGCCATTCCTACATCCTCCTCCCTATTGATGACACCTCATAAGCTACAAGCTAGCATTCCTCCCCTCTGATGTCCATTGCTTACTTTGGCTCTGCAAGGTGGCTTCAGACCCTGCTGAAGTGGCAATGTCTAATTTCAGCTGCTCCATCTTTCTCATGCTTGCTTAGGAAGTCCACCTAGCAAAGTAACCACAGCTTCTCCTTCCATGCTGGATAAACTGAGCAGCTGAATCCCTTCCCAGGCACAGGGAAGAGGATGGAGCCCAGATAACACTGCCAGCACTGCCCCATATCCTACACTTTCCTTTAGTGCCCATAAAAAGCAGTGAAAGAAGACAAGTGTGAGGCCAAACCCAGGAAAGGCTACCTTCTTTGTAGACCTGCTCTCCTCTTCAGGCCCCGTGGGACTCGGTAGCCACAGCATGTTGGGTGCTATGCAAAGAGCCAGGTTAAAGGCATTCATCTGATTCACACCAGAATTCTGCTCAATGTGATGGAGAACTCCAAAGAGGTGTCTGAGTAAGATGAGGTTGGCCTCTGGGAGCTGGTTGACAAGACTATTCAGAGAGTGAGAACATGAATGTGATAAAAATCTGTTCTTCAAATATCAGAAGTTGCTTCCCAAAACTTTTGCTCCCTTCTGCAACCAATTTGAGACATTTACATGTGACAATAGTATGCCTGTGTCACCCCACCAGGTTATATGACAGCCACAACTTTACATCCATGTTGCCTCCGCACTCTGGCCACAGAGCCTGAGGAACCAAGCACTTAAATCCAGGATACGTAAGCAGAAGCTTGTAATGCCTTCACAGAACAGTGACTGCCCAAAGAAGATGCAGAGGACAATGCCACTGCCCTTGTCCCATGCTCCCATGACCATGGGAGAAAGGAGGTCCAGACCAAATGGTGAGGTCCAAAACTGAGTTGAGCCATGGGCAAGAAGAGCTGATATGCTGATATAATCTGATACCCACAGGGTGCTGACAGACAGCTCTTGCTTAGGGCAGCAGTTTCAAGTCAGTAAAGCTGTTTTCAAGGTCCCAGTCACCATCTTGGTGGGGTCATTTCTTCTAACTGCTGATACAATGACCAGCTTGATGTTGTGCACATAAGAAAAAAGTGGCCATTTTTAAAGGCTCTAATTCTACAAACATTTTATGTACTCCTAGTGGCTGAATTATTGTACTTTTTCCATTTGCTAGTTCTGGCAATTTGAACTGGTCATCAGAAAATAATTTTCTAATTTTTCTAATTTTGGGGGATCCGAAATTTTAACAGTGCTCATAATAGATGGTTGAAAGGAAAATGTTCTGACCAGTGACATGGGCAATCAGCAAGAGATCTGCTGTGGCCTGGAGCTGTGCCAGGAGCCTCCCAGAAGATGAAGTCTATGCTTAGGAGCATGTGTTTCCCCTTCTCCCACCAAAATAAGTTTTTTACAAAGGCTTTTACGAACCTTTTGATAGCTTCAATCTTATGTGCCCGATTTTCCGTGTCCACAGCTTCCATCCACAGTCTGTGCATGTCTGAGGATAGAACACTGTCAGGTATATTTCGGAGAAAATCCTGAATTAAATATATATATGCAGAGCAGTCTGGTCAGTTTTGAGTTCCGTGTTTTAGTTTCATGATGCATATAGTCATTGTTTATTCATATTAAGCACAAGATAAAACAAGACATGACATCAATAGTTTTCTCCTCCCCTGCCCACCACCCCCCCCCCATCCCCTTGGGGCTCCCCCCTGGGGGCTGGAGCTGCCCTGCGGGAGCAGCCAGCCCATCCCTGCCCTGCTCCCCAGTGGGGCTGAGCTCTGCTGCAGCAGCCAGGGGACTTGTACCCAGGGCTGGGCACAG